TACAAATATGTATGTAGAACCTATTATAGATAAATATAGTATTCATCGCATGTAACATCACTAAAAGAATATATGTATATATAATAAGAAACTATTACTTATTAAACGATAAACAAATTTTAATCTCGTAATATACACGATGTTTGATAAATAACAATAAAACTCACATAGGAGTAGAGCTTACTAAATTGAGTTGAAAAGTCCTTTACCATTTTACAATTTTCGCAATAATTAACAAGATAATTAAGATCAATTATTAAAAATCGATCGAATATTAGTTTTCAATAATTTTTTACTCAAGTACTTTCAACTTTATAGAAAAATTTCGAGAGACAAAAATTGTTTATTTTCTTCTCATAGAGCTTTAAGATTTTTTCAGAATTTTTTAATCAATGTTTTAGTATACATTTTCTTATTTTTACCAACATAAGAAAATACGATATTAAAAAATTCTGAATAAATTCTGAAAAAATTCTTAGAGTTCTACGAAAAGAAAATAAACAATTTTTGTCTTTGCAGTTTTTCTACAAAGTTTATAGTATTTGAGTAAAAAAATTATTGGAGACCAATTTTCTGTAATTTTTAATAATTAATATCTTGTTAACAATTGCAAAAATTGCAAAATGGTAGAGGACTTTTCGACTCAGTTTAGTCCGCTCTACCCATGATATTTGGTGATTATTCTGGAACATCCTATATATTGGCAACTATTTTACCAAGATGAGAAAATACGATATTAAAAAATTTTGAAAAAATTCTCTGAATTCTATGAAGAAAAAAAAAACAATTTTTGATATTTGCTGTTTTTTTTTGTAAAGTTGACAGTACTTGAGTAAAAAATTATTGAAGATATACAATATTTGGCGAGTTTTAGTAATTAATATCTTGTTAATTGTTGCGAAAATTGTAAAATGGTAGAGGATTTTTCCACTTATAATTAGTTAATCCGCTTTATCCCTATGCGAGAGTTTTATCATTACTTATCAAACACTCTATATATGAACTTTGTTATTTTTGTTTCCGTTTTTAGGGCAGTATAACAAATATTGGCAGAGAGATCATAACGTCATTAGTTTTCGAGATCGTAATATCATTAGTTTTGACAGTTTAATAATATAAATATGACATTGTATTTGTGCGAAAAAAATTTTTTCCTTTCATTTTAAAATTTTATTTTATTATTTTAAATTTTATTTTATATGTGTATATATATATATATATATATATATATTTTATCGTGTACAAACTAAATGAATGATTTTTTTTTATCAAATTATAATAAATAATTTATAAAATAACAAAAAATGTTAATACGGAATAATTCATATCAATTATACAGAATTCTAAATTTAAATTTCCAAAATATCTTGACGAATATATGTATTAATATGTTTCACAATATATTTAAAATTTGCATTTTGTATTCCTGTTGCGATAGAGAATGTGTCAAAGCTTAAAGCTTTAATAATTATATACAAGGTGTCTGGTAAAGATCGTAATAAAAGATCATTTTAAGACAAAAATTCTAATACGAAGTCTATATCAAAAAGGCTATAATTTTTGAATTGTTAAGCATTTAAAGTTAGCGAATCGTACCATCTAAAAGTCACGCGTTCAAGTATGATAATATTTAAGGTATAATTTGCTAATTTTAAATGCTTATTAAAAAAACTTATTATAGCTTCGATATTTTTGTATTAGGATTTTCGTTTTAAAATGGTCTCTGGAATTTATCCTTAAGCGTTACAATCTTTATCGAATACCTTGCATATAATCAATAATTTAATATAAGTAGATTTTAAATCTACTGTATGTGTGTGTGTGTATGTGTGTGTGTGTGTGTGTGTGTGTGTGTGTGGATGGGGATATTTTTAAGTAAAAATTAAAAAATAATGAAGAATAATTCTATTACATGATAAATAGATATTAATGCATTTAAACCATTATAATATATTCGATTCTGAATCATCGTGTGTTTTATATCTTCCAGTTTAATAATTTTATTTACTTTTTGTTTTAATTTTTTTAAAGAAATTATCTTTTAAATTTTATTATAATGTGTTTGGACGAAGAGAATGATTTTTATTATAAATTTAATTTATAATAAATCCTCTCCTATTATGTCAATGCTACTTTATATATATAATGACATAAATAAAATATGAATAAAAATAATAGCTATATATTTTTTATTGGAATAAAACGACTATCTCATTATACAATAGATATTACAAATGCCTTAACAGCCAATGGATATTTTTTGATTTAATTATTTATATTATATTTATTAATTCAAAATAAGTATTTTTAAATAACTTTCAAAACTAACATAATTATAAAAATTATAAAAATGCCTTTATAAATTTTTACATAACATAAGAAATTTTTTTAATTTTTCGAATATAATACACAAAAGCTTTACTTTTTAATTATTGCTTTGTATTGTCTGTTTCTTCACTGTGGATAATCATTATTAATAACTGTTTAAACACGCGTTTTTTTTCTCTAATAAAAGGTAATGTTAAGGCATTTATATGATATATATGTATATACACACATACATACATACATAGAATCTGAACATTCTTCGAGAAAAATTTGTCGTGTGCGTAAAAAATGTATTTAGTATAACAATATCACAAACTTCAATATGTCAATCTTCGTGTACTTAGCTGCTCTTGCGTATGTACAAAATATGCATTTCAAATTCGGGCAGTATAAAACCAGAAATAAATTGTATACGTAAATAAACATCTTTTTCATCATTTTTTCTTCCATACTATAAGTACTTAATCTTAAGTAATCATGAGTTTGTTGCGTTTTTATGTTTTTATGTTTCTATGTTTTATATTTCGATTATTTAGTTACTTAATGTTTGAATAATGCTTCGTTTTCAGGATTATCGTCTCTGTGTTTCTCGAGATTTCCAGATAAAGTCGGATCTGGCCGTCGCCTTTTGAAGAATCCGAATTTTCTCAATATTAATGTAAGTAGAATGAATAATAACATGCCAGCTACTGCAGCCACTATATATATCCATACTGGTACAGGCTCGGCTTCTTGTTGATCCAATAGATCTGGATAAGCGATTGTCTCAGCCTATATAATGTAAAAGAATACTGTCAAATAATTTTTATCGTAACTTCAATATGTTTCTTACATATCTTTTTGTATTGAATTTAAAATTGGAAATGCAACATTAGAATTTTGTTATCAATTATCATTATCTTGGGTCTGATAATATGACAATTATCAAGTATCGAAATATTTATTGTATATTTAAAAAATATGCTTACAATTGCGTAATCATCCTTCAAGTTCTCTTGTTGTATCACAATATTTGAAGGTATTACTATTCGAGCGTTGGAACCTATTTTAACCATGTCCACTTTCGGATAATCTTCGACTAAAGTAGAATTCCAAAGCCTGAAATCAGTTATTTCTTTGAAGATTATAAGACGCTCAGAATATTAAAATGAATATAACTGAAATATTAATATTAATGAAATTTCTCATTCAATTGTCTGGGAAAGATAAAACTTGATTGTGTTTATTAGTATACATTAATATATTATATTAACCCTTAAGTAGGCGCATGGGGTCAAAGCCGCTTCAATCACTGTGATTTTGCTACGCCTACTTACAGGGTAATTATTAATACATAATTTCAAGAATTTTTGTATGTTTTTTATATTTTACAGTAGAAAATATTTCCACTATTTCCTTTAATTTATTATATAATTTGGAAAATATAATGTTACAACTTATATTAGTATATTTTTTTAACTTACGTTAACATATTTTGTTTGTTTTGAGCTTTAAAATATTAGTTTGCTTTTTGAAAGTATTATATTAACTATATAATTAAGAGTGATCCGTATTAATAAGTTAATAAATTTATTTATGATTTAGTGTGACACAATTAATGATAATCACTTTTACATTTCTATTATTACCTCGCTTTAACAGTTATGATTGCTTCCTGTTTCCTTTGTAAGTTATATATGTAACATGTAATATCGAAACATTTTGCTGTGCCAGCTTTGCAATTCTGTAATGTAAGATCCTTCCATCAACGCTTCATAAAAAACTATCATTTACTATCAAAATGTATAATAGAAATGTATATATAGAATGAATTCGCAAAAATAGAAAAGCTTTCAATTTTGAAAGCTTAGAATAACGAAATTCTTTCAAAATTAAAAAATTCGGAAACGATAAAGGATATTTTAATTTTTGATACTACCTTTTTTGAAAATGAAGTTTGAATAGAAATACTGAAAAAAAATATCTTATATTTACAATAAATAATGAAATAGAAAATACTCTATTTAACAATAAATAATAAAATAGAGTACCTATTTCACAATTACAATTTATTTGTAAAACATAAAGATATAGATAATCTAGCTCGTTGCCCAACCTTTTATATTTCCATCGTATTTCTTTTTAATTTACTTTTATCTAGAATTATGACATTTCATGTATCATATATGATGAATCAGTTTGTATAGGGATTTATTACAAATTTCTTTTTAGTTTCAGAATTCTGTATGTGACTCTCCTAATTGTATCTTGCGAATATAATTGAGTGACTTATCATAAGTGATAACTTACCATCGCCACAACACGATGTCGATGTCCATCCTTGTCAATAATCGTTCGCGTATTTACAACTTTTTCTGTATCTCGCGTTGTTCTTATATGATTAGTATGATTATACAAAACTGTCGATGGAGTTGATGATTGTATAATGTTATCGATATCGTCTAAGTTGACATTATCTTGTAGTTTTAATGGATTGACTACATATCCTGGTGGTAATGTACATTCACCATCTCCTAGAGCTAAATCATTTAATATAGGTATTTAGATGAGTTATTTTAGCTTGTGTAATATTTTGCAATATTGTATATTTTCATCACATTAATTTAATAGCATTAATGTAATATATTGAATAAATCGTATGCAATAGAAAGAAATATGACATATGTAGTAATATATGTATATATTACATATTCTTCTTGAACATCATATTTATATTTATCATATTTTTTTTTGTCCAACCCCTAGAAAAACGCTTGAATGATGAAAAACAATTGCTCACAATTAGAAGTTATTTATGAGCTTCCAAACTCTGCAGGAAATAAAAATTTTAAGTTTCTTTTTTAAAGCATTTTTTTTAATAAGAAAGATAAATAGAATCTCTTATACTTAATTTTCATTCTCTTAAAAGTAAAAACATTAATTTTTGCTTTAAATATTTTTAAAATGATTAACACGCACGCACGCACGCACGCACGCACACACACGCACGCACGCACGCACGCACGCACGCACGCACGCACACACACACACACACACACACACACACACACACACACACACACACACACACACAGAGTGCATTTTTTGCTTTCTTGTAAAATGCTCGTCTTTTAGATGATGAGTTCAAAACTTTGGCGAATTCTTGAATTTCAAAAATGGAATGATTAATTCTCATTTCTCAATCTTACAATTAGACAAACAGCTTCTATTCGGTTTTTTTTATTTTGATGTATTATAAAGAAAATCAATTGAAGAAACAAAGAATTTTGTATTACCTTGAATAATTGGCATCTCTTCCATATAGAGCAGCCATTTTCCGTGCGCTTTGTCATTCGCGACCTCGTAAGGCCATGAAATATGCACTTCCACAGTGCTGATCTTCCACGGGCCTTCGTTAAATATTTCATAAATATGTGACACCTTTGGTCCTATCTCATTCAGATATTTTATTGCGGATTCTCCGACTACTGGGCCACCGTAAAATGCCCACTGAGTTTTCGCGCTTCTACAAATATAAATAAATAAATATACATTTTTTTAAATATTAGTATATGTAATAAAAATTTTAAATTAAATAGAATAGATCAATTATTAGTGTATAAGTACATGTTTACATTGACAGTATTTCTTATCGATGAAAAGATGACGCAGTATACCATACAAAAATAATGCGATGAATACAAATTTAGTTATATATATTTATACATAATTAAATTTTTTTTTTTTTTAGCAAATTAACGAATTATAAATGCCGCATATGTAAAGAACATTATTGAAATTATATCGGATACTAAATTAATTACCCTTTGATTGAGAGTTCAGCACGTTTTAACACCGTAGCTTGCAGCACAGTGGGTTGTTTCTCTTTGATTTCCTTTGATGTAGAATTTGCAAAAATTATAAAGCCCAATTGCGATTCATTATCCTCGAGACCTTTAGGATCAAATCTCACTTGTATGTCCACTGTTTTATCCTTTTTGAACGGATTGCCGATAGAACACGATACTATAGTGGCGTTGTACAAATTGCAGATTACGGAATCGTTGCTTTTACTGGCGATGTAGTTCAAACTCTGTGAGTGAGTGATAAACAGTTGAGCCTCGTATGCAGACTCACCGACGTTTGCCACATTCACTTCCACTACTATCTCTTCTCTCTCGCCCAAAAGCAACTCGTAGAAGTCCGGTTTTACAGAGGAAGCTAATACAATAAGAGATATCAGCAAAATTTAAGATAATTTAGCAAAATTTTTTTCTGGCAAACTCAAAATATATTTTGCTTTATATTATGTTTTTTTTTATTCAGATATAAACAGAACAGAAATATATAGATCTATAGAAAGAGAGAGAAAGAGAGGGAGAGAGAGAGAGAGTAATGCCTTTTCCATTTTATTATATATATTATATATTTATTATATAATTGCGCACGAATCTCTCTACTCTCAAACTTCTATTCGTTTTCTTGTGTATATTCTAATTACAGAATGTATTTTGACTGTGTACAGTATTTACAATATTTTGCGCATAGTATGTAATTTACGTTTACGTAACACGGTTCGATCGATGCGCAGTGACGTTCATTTTTCTTATGCTTGAATTTCGGATCAAGCTCGATTCTAAAAGCTCGAACTCGAGAGAATTCATGCTTTTTTTTTTAATCACAGTCAAGCGGGAGCCTGCAGTGGAGATGTGTTGCACACCTCTAACGCATACATGCCAAATGACAAATGTGAAATAATGGGGAAATAGTGCAAAATAAAATGTTAGTTTATGGAAAAGAGTTAACCGAGAATGGAGTAAAGTTAAGAATAAAGACATTAATTCATTTTACTTTAATAAAAATTATACGGAGAAATATGTATGTATTATGATAATTCTGAATTTCTGTGAAATTCTACGTAAGAAAGAAACACCTACCTGATAAATTCAGTTTAGCTATCACTTGTAAATCGCTTTCGCAAATGTCATTATTTCCACAATCTTTTTGAAAGACAGCCTCGAATACACGTGCGGCTTCTTGTTGATTAAGTATTGGATAATTCTTCATTTCGGGTAAAGGAGCACCTTCGAGAGGCATGACTGGCTCTTCCTGTATCAGCGAATAATTCAGACGGAATTTGATAGGAGTTTGGATATCGCGTGTGTTCTCCTGTTAAACATCCACAATAAATAATTTTACATCTTCTAAGAGAGTACAAATAAAGATAAGACGGTAAAATCATTTGATATTTCCAGCAAAATTGGTTATAAAAAAGTAAATCGAGTAGAATGATGATGATTCGATGAATATTATTAAGAAAATAAATACCATTTAATATACAAATGACTTTTATTTGTTCTTCAAAATACATAATTTCTCCTAGAGACAATACACTCTGACATTCGTATAACTTGTGGAAACTCTGTGAAAAGTCTTTGGATATCGCCTTAAGTTTTATTAATACACAATTCTGAATGTCCGAAATGTTCACAAATCGAGTTTCTTTCATCGCTTCCTTTAATTTAGGGAACAAAAAGAAGTCTGCTGGAATAGGGATCAAGAGAGAAAGGAGAGTGATTCAAAACGGTAATGCAATATTGATTTCAGAATTGTTGTATGTGTTTCGAATCAAAATTATGTGACAAAAAAAAAGCGATATCCAAATGACTTTTTCACAGAGTTTCCGCAAGTAATACGAATGTTGTCAGAAGTGTATTGTTTCTACAGGGGATTACTTTGAAGAATAATAAAGATCATTTGTATATTAATTAAGTAGCATTTATTTTTTCTCATAACATTCACTGAATCTTATTATCATATCATGTATAAAAATTCAAGTCTATTCTCAAATGGATTTATTTTTATTTTAACCATTTGATCGTCAATGAGCGCGTACAATTTTTGTTTTCATATGAACATTATCATTAATACTATACGATACTGTGAAAAAAGATATATATGATTTATCAACGTGATTATCAAAATGAAGAATAAAGATGATTTCATTCGCCCAGAAACTTCCTCTATATCTATGCTTATTTGTACTGTAATTGCGATATAATTGACAATTTATTATGCGATATTCTGACAGAATCAGATAAGTAGCCTTATCAAATAGTTGACCTATAAAATATGGATTTCGTAATACTTGAAATTTATCTTTAAATTTTGTAAGTGAAATCTATGATATTTTTGCTATACGATTTAGAAAATTAAGTACATATATAATTATTAAATGTTCACGAAATAACAATAAACACTTTGTATTATGTAATTGCATGCATATATGTATTAAAAATATAATAACAGAAATAACATAAAACATAGTATTATTTTACTTTACCTTCAAATAAACAATTTCCTTTTGGCAGTGTACCAACTTTGTGCTGTCTAAGGTGACTGTTCGATTTATATAATGAGGACGCGTATTACCATTGATGCCGAAAAAAACTCTCGAGAATTTTTTAGTTCCAGTATAGGTTTCCGCTTCGATATAATAGTTTAATTTCAGATTTTGCATAGAATCTTCTTTCGCTAGCGATTCCGTCTTGCAACAAGCCTCAAACGCAAAACTACAGAGTTTCACATATGTATGTATATATATATA